AAAAAAAGGAATGATTATTTGGTTATTTCAACTACCAAAGGAAACTGAAGCAGATATTTATGAAATCATTGGGAGGTGATTGATCTCCAATTCAACAGGTTAACTATTAATATTTGGAGGATTTTCTTGTCATGCTGTATTAGGAGGAATACATCACCAGAAAGACATTTAAATTGTATTTAACTAAAACAATAACATTATGTATTCTGGATTTTTTTCTTCAACAGCAAATATGTAATATTTTAACAAAACAGGTGTATGAATTTTTAAAAATTCATGTTTTTAAAATCAAGTGTGTTTTAGCTAACATTGTTTTTAACTAAATTAAATATTTTAAAATGAAAAATTGAACTGACTGTGTCACCCAGGTCAATATGAGAAACTTAAAATATTAACGTCTATGCATTGAACTTTTTGAAACTTTGCAATTTACGGCTATGTCTAGACTGCAGCACTTTTCCGGTATCCCGGAAAAGCAATGTCGTGTCCAAGGAACATGTCCGCTTTTCAGAAAAATTTTTCAGAAAAGCAGATGTGTTCTTTCGCCATCTTATAAACCTCGTTCTACAAGGAAGAAGGGATGTATCGAAAGAGCACTTTTTTCTGAAATTTGGCACCGCGTACCTTTGTAGTCTAGACGTAGCCTTAGAGAGGTAAGGAATTGACACCGTGTAAACAAATTTGCAGAGGGACAATAGGATTGAGGGCTGTTATTTCTCAGCTCTGTATATTATGTATTTATTGAAAACATGTTTGAGGTTAATAAACATGTAAATTCTGGAGACACAAATTCACAGTTTGAGAACTACAAAAACAATAATCTCTGATGATATCTTCTAGACTGAGCACTGAGTCCCACTGGGTAAACAGAAAGATTAAACTAAACAACCTGCTGAAGCCTCTGGAACCCCATTAGAATGGGTCCCTAATCCATGAACTATTGGAACTCATTTACAATGTTTTCTTAAACGTTACATGAATAAGAATTTATAATCCCTATTCTATAATGAGATATCTTTGAGCTTTGATGTATCTTAAATAAAATACATTAAACTTTACATAGGTTTTATCCCAAAATTTTTTTTATCAAAAACATCTGATTTGAATTTTTTAAAAATTGATTTTTATCCACCCTGGTTGATGAGAAAAAAAAGTTTGCAACTGCATTCTCTCCAGTGTGTAGGACTAATCATAGTGCTTTACCTTACTTGTGCAAATGAGTAACCTTTGCTTATATTCACCCTGGAATGCAGCTCCCTGTTTTTTGCAGTCATTTGCAGAGTAGAGATTACAATAAGTGAGCCAAACTAAGAGCTACAGTAGTAACATTCCTTACATTTACAGTGAAGTATTAGCAAATGCCCAACCAAAGAAATTCCAAAGATTATGGTTCCGTAGCGGAATACTTCAGAATCTGAGTTTTCACTGAAGCAAGTCCGTCTGGATGTGAAGGTAGCCTTGAGGTGTATGCTCTGGGTCTGCAACCAGACAGACTGAAACAATAGCACAGAGTGTGAATTTCCTCTAATTCATCACAGGGAGCCAGTACTTCTGAACTCTAATTATAATCACTTAAATGCCAATATGGTAAGCCTTTTCGCAGCCGAATGTTGTAGTAGAAATACCAACTAACGAACATATCTGCTGTGAATGAACCCACATACTGTGTTGCACAAACATTAAAAAAGGACTTTTTATAGGAATAAAGCTTTTGAAATGGTAAGCTATAGAAATAATAGTGCAAGTGGGACAATAAAGTCATATTCAGTATATAGCTTGTTATTCATAAAATTATCCTTGCCCAGGGTGTTCACTGCTACTCAAATCCCAACATGAGTACAACAACTAGAGATCAGCTGCAGATATGCCAATAAGCAAATATTCACATGATTCACAATGATGAAAAAATGGTCAGGATTCAAGAAATCATGTCAACTTGGGATTGTCATCGTTCAGGTGTCTAGTATGTTCTACTCATTTCTGCAGTGACCAGCACCAATATGAAGAACAAGTGCTAGAGAAGCAGCAGGATTAGACTGGCAGGGTTGTTAATTACTGTTTATACCAGAGTTTAAAATAATGGATCAAAATGATCCAATTACCTGGGAGACATGGCAGATGTGATTTAAATGTACCCTCTGCTGTGAATACTCAAAAAGCCACTAGACAGGTGTTTTCAGTTAAAAAAGGCTGACTAGGACCGTACTTTATTAGGTTATGTCTACATAGCTAATGTTATTCCAAAATAACATAGGGTGCGTCTATAGTACAGGCTTTTATTTCAAAATAATGGTGAGCTGGCTCCTGACTCCTGTATCCCTTATTTCATGAGAAGTAAGGGAAGTCGAAGGAAGAGTGTTCTTCCTTCGACTTCCTGCTGTGTAGACAGTGCCAAAAGCCGAATTAAGCTATTTCGACTTAAGCTTTGCAATTGACTTAGCTGAAGTTGCATAGCTCAATTCAAGTTTTGCTCTGCAGTGTAGTTGTGCCCTAACAGAACAGTTAGTTGATTTGAGGTTTGATTTTTTTTCTTCCACTTAGATCCTAGACTTTTCAGGAATCAAAGAAGAGCCATTAAACAGCACTATCAACATGCTTTATAAAAACCTAGGCGCCTACAGCACTACATAGTAGGAAGGTAGTTTTTGGTCTCTGCTCATCTAACATTACAGAAAGAGAAATATGGGAAAACAAATCTTGTATAAGGTTTTGAAAAAAGGGAAAATTGTCCGGAGGTACCCAAAGTGATAGGAAAGAACAGGATAGGCTGATGCAAGAGCTGTAATTAATTAGATGTAATATAATCTACAAAGAACTGCCTTCTCTATAAAACCTGGAAAGAAATCCAACACATGATTCAGATCTTTAAAACTGTTTAATAGTTTTGGAATGCAGCTGCAGCTAAGAGCTAAAAAAAATTCAGCATACAGGCAGTCCCCGGGTTACATGGATCCGACTTACATCGGATCCCTACTTACAAACGGGGTGAGGCAACCCCACACTAGCTGCTTCCCCCCAGCAGACCAGGGAGACGCGAAGCTAGTGCCCCCGCCAGCAGACCAGGGAGACGCGGAGCGGCTTTTCTCAGCAGACACCTCAGCTTGAGAATAAAGGACTGAGGGAAGTGAGGTGTGGGAGAATAAAACAGAGCTCTGGAGAAATGTTTGGCTAGAGTTTCCCCTACAATATGTACCAGTTCCGTCTTACATACAAATTCAACTTAAGAACAAACCTACAGTCCCTGTCTTATACGTAACCCAGGGACTGCCTGTATTTTGAAAAAACACATAGTTTTGCTAATTAAGAAACAGTAATTCAAACCACACACACAAAAAAAGGATGCTTAGAAAGATAACTCAGTTTAATAGCTACCTCTGTGCAGGATGAAGTTATGGTTTGGAACGTGACTTTCTCATTGATATATTGATTCACGTGAAAGTAGTTATCTGAGGGTATGTCTACACTAGCCCCCTAGTTTGAACTAAGGAGGCTAATGTAGGCATTCGGAATTGCAAATCAAGCCCGGGATTTAAATATCCCACGCTTGATTTGCATGTTCCCGGCCGGTCACCATTTTTTAAATTTACAAGCCCGGACTAACTGCCCGCGTCTACACATGGCAGGGAAATGGGCGTTCGAAATAAAGCCCCTAAATCGAACTACCTGTTAAACCTCCTTACCACTAGGTAAGATGGGATACTGAAGCTTTGGTGGAAGTGAAACCCAAAATGTTGTTGGATCTGGGTTCTAGTTCATAGTTATTTTCCCTAGGCCCTGCGTGAAGTCCATTGTTTTTGCTCTGCAGGCTGTTCCTCTGTTACCCATTTGTGACACTGAACCTTAATATTTTTATGGAAATATGTTTTTTAATATGAATATGCCAAATTTTGCATAAAGCACACATGCTTTCATAGAATCATAGAACTGGATGAGACCTCAAGAGGTCATCAGGTCCAGCCCCCTGCCGAAGGCAGGACCAATCCCAACTAAGTCAACCCAGCCAGAGCTTTGTCAAGCTGAGACATAAACACCTCTAGGGATGGAGATTCCACCACCTCCCTAGGTAACCCATTCCAGTGCTTCACCACCCTCCTAGTGAAATAGTTTTTCCTAATATCCAACCTGGACCTCTCCCACTGTAACTTGAGACCATTGCTCCTTGTTCTGCCATCCGGCACTACTGTTAACAGCCTCTCTCCATCCTCTTTAGAACCTCCCTTCAGGAAGTTGAAGGCTGCTATCAAATCCACCCTCACTCTTCTCTTCTGCAGACTACACAAACCCAAATCCCTTAGGGTATGTCTACACTACCCTCCTAGTTCGAACTAGGAGGGTAGTGTAGACATACCCTAAGAGAATGATAATAATGGGGGTTTTCAACTATATAAACTATGTAATATAAACTGGTCACATAGCATAATGGGACAAAGTTCAGAGAAGCACTGAATGTTTGGAGAAGCAATGGAATAGCTGGCTCTAGCATACAAGAGACTCGGAGGCTGTTCTCAACTTAGCTTTAAGTAATATGCATGAGTTGATTCAAGGACAAATGATACCAAAAACTGACAATTCACACTGCAGAAAGGAAGATTTTAATAAAATGAGGATGCTAGTCAAATAGGCCCGAAGTCAAAAATGAAGTAAAATCTATTGGTGTGTCAAGAATGGTACTTAAAAAAACCACAACAATCAAAGAGATACTAGGGCCGCAAATTCTTCTGAATGGTTTCCTCTGACCATCAGAAAAATCTCTGTTGTGCTTGGATTCCGCTTCAGCCAGCTGCTGTTCATCAATAAAATGATGTAATCTAACCACAGGCTACCTTGATGGTAGTATTGTGGTTATATGGCCAGAAGATTAGTTCAAGCTTTGTGTTATCTGTATATTGCTTGTGTCTGAATTCGTGTCATCTCACCATTCACCTAGTGGATGCATGTATATTTTTAACAGGACCAGAGAGAGAAGTATGGGTCACCATAAAGGAAAGGACTGGTAGGAGAGGTGCAAGAATATTATTCTTTGGGCATGTCCCTCCAGGAAAGATTCAAGCCTTGTAGTGTATTACTTGGGACACATGCTACTTCTCACTAGTGAGACAGTAGTATCGTATGATCAATGTGTTGAATGCTACAGAAAAGTCAGGAAGGACAACAACAGATGTATGTTCTCTATCCAATTGACAGCAGGAAACAACATGCGAGAGCTGTTAATGTAGTTTCAGTTCCATGTCTTAGTCTGAGTCCAGATTGTGCTGGGCATAGGGCATTAACTTTAATTAGGTAAGCATGATATTGGCCCTTGGTTAGCTTCTCTATGGTCTTATTAAGGAATGGAAAGTTTCCCACACTTGAAGAAGAGCTCTGTGGAGCTTGAAAGCTTGTCTCTTTCACAAACTGAAGCTGATCTAATAAAAGAAATTACCTCACCCATTTTGTGTTCTGAAGTTTGATATTAGGCAGCAGTTGGCTAAAACCATGTATTGAGGGTAGACTGACTTACCAGTGGTTAAAATATTCTGTTTGATAAGGGGAAGGGATGATTCTTTCCCAGAATGAAAAATTAGCTACTTTGGTATTAGTTGCTCATGGAAAGTTTCCCACACTTGAAGAAGAGCTCTGTGGAGCTTGAAAGCTTGTCTCACCAACAGAAGTTGGTCCAATAAGATATTCTCACCCACCTTCTCTCTAAAAGTAGATGTAGTTTTTTCTAATTTATCAGGAGGGTGGCTGATAGATTAACCAGACTTCTTTTGCCCTGAGTTTCTTCACTCACAGGTGGCAATGAGTGTTGTTTAGCAAATGGGGTTTTCTGTTGATTCCCTCATTCCTTGTTCAGTTGGAAACAGATGGAATTTGATTTTCTAACAATAACTATGGGCTTAGAATAACAACTCTTACATTTCCATCTGAGGAGAGGGAAAGGAACAGCTAAAAATCCCACACAAACACTCTAGCCATCTGGACATCAAAGTGTAGAAATAATAATTCTATCTAGTGAGGCTCTTATGCCCTTCACTGTGGTCCTACTCAAGGCAGATTTTGTCTCCTGGCCCTTATCCCTGCCCTCCAGCGTATCTACCTCTCCCCCTAGATTAGTGTCATCTGCAAACTTGCTGCGGGTGCTCCATCCCCTCATCCAAGTAATTAATAAAGATATTGAACAAAACCGGTCCAAGAACAGATTCTTGGGGCACTCCGCTAGAAACCGACTGCCAACCTGACATCGAACCATTGATCACTACCCATTGGGCCCGACAGTCTAGCCAGCTTTCTATCCATGTCACAGTCCATTTATCCAATCCATATTCCCTTAACTTGCTGGCAAGAATATTGTGGGAGACCGTATCAAAAACTT